CGCCCCCCAGTGGGAGAGACCTGGAGAGATGTCCCTCCGACTTCATTTTCCTGGTGCAGCCAGCGCCTCTGCAATGCAAATGCAAGATGTCGGGCACAAGGACACAAGGATCTCGCTGGGAACAAACCCTGGAGAAGAATGTGAGAAAGAGCAGAGACGGGGGGACTGTATCAGCACCATTCAAGACATCTGAGACAGACTGAGGATCTTCATGGACACTGCACTAGAGACCAGGAGGTAAACTGGAAGGACCCAGTGACATTCCTGGAGCCTCTGTCCCCTCCGCTATGGACCCTCCTTTTGTATTGTCTGGACAAATTGCCAATGAAGCCCTCACTTGAGAGGGTCTATGTGTTTGTACCAACCTAGGGAAGGCTAAGGCAAGGCAGGGGTGGGCAGGACGCAGCCCACCCGGCTTCCTCCCCTTCCACGCCATCCCTAAAGTGTCAGAAAAGTATCTCCTAGCTAAATGAGAAAGCCAGTAGAGGCGTGGGGTAAAGATGAAACAGGCAGGTCCCTGGGGGCTGGGTTTTTAAGGAGGAAGAAATCTGACACAGAAAGATGCAGTTTCAAAAACTAAGGATAAGAGAAATGGTTTATCAGAAGCAAAACCCTGAAGCAGGGCTGAGCATGTGTGATTCGGAGCACAGAACCATTACAGTGGGTTGGTCACAGGAGGACTGCTGGAACCCGTCTTATTGAACGCTATTTCTAAAGGGGAAATGGGCTACACGAAAGACAAATGGCAACTGTGGGTGGTTAGATTTCCAGCCACAGGGAGGGAAGCTGCAGGAGGCCCAGCCCAGGGCACAGGGAAGTAAATGACAGAGTGGACAAGCGTAAGGTGTGGCCTTGAGATGAAGAGGAGGATCTGGGCGCTTGTGAGAACAGGAGAACAACAGAAGGGTGGGGCCGCCAACTGAAAGCAAAATAGAGCCTCATCTGATACTTCACACAAGCAAGGAGCTTCTCACAGGACACCTGCTCACTGTCATCGGTGAAGCGAGATGCCACGGGGCTTTTTCTAGTCCAGAGAAGGTGCCAGGAGCTGCGGATGAGGAGAATGGGGGTGTTCCAGGAAGAAGAGGGCTGGGCTGAGTGGTGTGTAGCCTCCACCCAGTCTTTTAAGGATATGGCAGCAGGGATCATGAATCAGCCTCCAAATTCTACAGTATCAGGGCTAAGGCATCCCCCGGGCTGCAAGAACCCATTGAATAAAGCAGGTAAGCTCTTTGCTCTGGAGAGTTTTCCATGCTAAAAATAAATTTGAAGTAGGACATAGATCCACTCAGAGAGAGCCCTATAAAGGTAATTGTTCAGTCAGTTACAGATAGAATTTCTTGTTCTACTTCTAGTGGAGGGAGCAGTGGGACCCTGCTGGGGGCTCAGCAGCAGAGGGGCCTCGTCCTGCAGCTGACTGTGACTGTCCTCAGTGACGCTGCCCTGGCAGAAGCTCTAGCTGTGGCCTTTCTCACGTTCCAGGCCACACAGTGTGCACTGCATTGCTAGCTGCGGGCTCTTCCTGTGTGCGGTGAATGAAAGCCAGGTGAAGAGGCTTGGTTTGTAAGAAACCAGAATGGTTTCCAAGCAACCATGAGCCTACTGGTTCCTGCAGAAAGCAGTGTGCACTCGTGAGCTGAGCCCGAGGCTCCAGAATGGGCCTTGACCAAGGCCAAGCCCGGGAAGGGGTGGCGGGGAGGCGTGGCCAGGCAAGAAGTCACTCCACACTTCCAGTTCATGGCCCAGGCTCCAGGCACAATGCCCACCCCCCACACACAACCCCTGAGAAACCACTGGCACTGTCCGTGAGGCCCTTCTGAGAATCCTAACTGCTCGGACCGCGAGCATCCGCACAGTGGGGAGGTGGGGAGGAGAAAGGAAGGAGCCCCATTCTCCACAACGGTGTCCCTTCCTTCTCCCCAAAGGAGGCCCTCAGAGCTTAACTACATGTCCACATTCCCGCTCCGACCCTGGAAGCAAAGGCGCTTCCAGGACTTTCTGCTTTCCTCTCTTCCACCCTGGACCCTCTTCTAAGCAGCTTTGCCCTATCCCGCCTGTAAGCCTGTCATTATCCCCTAGGATGACCTACTAAAGCCGCTCCTCGGGGCCACCTGCAGACTGGAAGAGTAATAGATCTTCCTTCCAGTATCCCCTTTCCTTCCAGTGTCCTCTTTCCTTCCAGTGTCCTCTTTCCCATTGCTCTCTCTTTCCCTCCTGCGCCTCACATCCTGCTGGCCTTCTCTCCCCTTCCATTCTGGGAGAAGAAAGGGCAACACTCCATCACCTTCTGGCTGGCTGATGGGACACCGCCCAGCCTCGAGGCCATCACAAACTTTCCAGAACAAAGGGAGGAAAATGTTTCCATCAATGACTTTCTACACAAATGGCTCCTGCCTCCAGCCATTCCAGAAAGACCATTCCAGACTCAAAGCAGCCTGCCTGCCCTCGCAAGCAGAATCTTCTCGACTGGCAGGTAAGCCAAAGGCTCCAGGTCATCCACAGCTCCATTTGGAATCTAAAAAGCAGAACTTGATAGCAGCTGTCACGCTGACGGCCACGAGGACATGGGGTGTCTGCCCCACCCACTCCTCAAGGGACAGGGAATGAAGACCAAATAGCCAAGCCAAGTGACGGAGACCAGGACACTCAAGTCAAATGACGAGGTTGGTGGTAGAGGAAATGGGACTGGTAAAAAAGCAGGCGACGCTAGAAAGGGGAGCTCAATCTGAAAAGTAAATGTGGGAGAGGCCAATGTGTCCACGTGGAAGGAAAGGCAGCCTCCCTGAGAGCCACAGTGTGAGCCGAGGCCGTCTCGTCATCACCACCCACCTCCACCCAGGCTCTTCTGCACCACTGGCCCCACCGCTGGCCCCTGGACCTCTTCCTCCCCATGCTTCAGAGTGGCCCAATGGCAGGAAGAAGCCATCAGAGGGACGGCTGCCGTCTAATGGGATCCCTGAGACCTGGTGGAACCAGATGTGTCTGTGGTTGCCTTGCAGTAGCCCTGACTTCCGTGGGGTCACATTTCCCGCTGTGTATGACTGTCCTCCAGCCCTGCCACTGTGTGCATCCACCCCTTCCCTCAGGAATTTCCTGGGGCTTCTGCTCCTGCGTTCGCCACATCTAGCTCCTCATGGAGCCCTGTATCTTAGCACTGTATCTGCTCGGTCCATTCCTCTTTAGCCTTCTTGTTTCTCAGCACTTTCATTCAGTGGGCGAGGGCCAAAATCCAGGGCTGGTCACAGAGAGTGCCACAGCCCTGGGGATGGAGCCTCATGCTATCTGACGGCAGAGGTGCCCTGCTCCTTGCCCTGCCCTTTCTTTCATCCTGGTAGCAGCCTGTGAGCCCCGGGGGGCTTGGGAAGGCAGGCCACGTTGCAGGAGGAAGCCGAGGACACTGACTTCCTGACGTCTCTTCCCCTCATCCAAAATCTGCCCTTCCCTGAGGGTGGCTCCTCTTCCAAGTCTTCTAAAACAGCAAGGCTCCTTTCTTTAGCATCTCCCTCAGGCGAGGTCTCCAGGCCTGTGGTTCACTGGCATCTACTGGCATCTACCCCTTCATAATGATGCCTCCTCTTCCCTTGGAGCCCTCTCATGCCACATGGCCGTCTTCTCATCTTCATCTATCAAAACCCGCTGTACCTCCACATTCATGTCCCCATAGGAGCTTATTAGAAGCGTGCCTGCACACAGTAGACACTCAATAAATATTTGTTGAATGAATGAATGGAGATCCCCAGTCTCAGACTCACCAATTTCATCTCTGCCCCAGTGCTGCTCAGCCTAAACGACGTTAACAACCCCCAAGGAGGCTTGTTGCTCATCTCCACTTCTGCAGCCCACCCCCAAAGCCAAACCCTGATCCCAGCGTCACCTACGCAGCCCTCACCTCGGCTTCCCGCCACTCCCTTCTCCGGCCAACTTGAAGCTCTTCAGTTCCACATCACGTTCTTTCTCCAGTCAACCTGTTTAAAACCGTTGGTTCCCTATTCCTTATTCTGGGCTTGCCTTGCTGCTCTCCAACCTCGGAACCATGGGACCGTTCATTTTCTCAAGCCTTGCACCTTAGCTCTGCCAAGAGAAAAGCGCATAACCACCAGTCTCTTCCATCACAAATGTATGATTCCCAGCTCAGCAGGGCGGGGCCCCCTCGGCTGCTGGCTAGCAGTCAGTTTTGCTAACTCCTGCTGGCCCTTCTCCCCACAGTTCCCAGAGTTTATCATTGCCCTCAAACCCTTGTCCCTGTCGGTTGACAACGTCCACTCTTAGTTCACTGACAAATCCCCCGGCCATCAGTTGTGAACTCCCCCCTCCCCATCCTGCCGCCAGCCCTCCTACCTCACTTCTCCCGCCACCTCCGATGTGCCCCCCGCCCTTCCGTAGGGTTATGCCTCTGCCTGGGCTTTGGGACGTGCTAGCCTTTCTGCTCACCCAGGCTGGCCCTCCAGCCAAGTATCCCTCTCCCCAGATTTCTGTTAAGTTCCCTCTGCCTTCGCCTCCCTCCCCTCAGCCTGCCTCTCATTAGATTTAAACCCTCCCTCCAGTACCCCGCTTCCTTAAGCTCACATCCTCTTTCAAAACTGCCGTTTATCAGAAACCTCTGGAAGGATTTTCACAGCCTGTGGAAGGCCTGTCACCCTTCCTATCCATCTCATCTGGTGTAACTGGTCTCCTCTCCCCCCAGCTCATGGGTCTCATCCCCACCAGAGACTCAGCCCCCTCTTCGTTGCCACATCCTACAACCTTTCCTTTTCCTTTTTATTACGGAAGAAATACATTCTTATCTCAACAACACTAAAGAGATAGTCAAAAGCATGAGTCCCTCTCATCCTGCCCTGAACGGTGTTCAAGGTGGAGCTGGCGTCTTCCCAGACTTTACTACACACAAACATAACGTAGTTTTATGCACACATGCAGAAGTGGGTCTCAAAAACATAAATGAGATCCCAGTACATGTATTATTCTGCAGCTCGCGTCATAATTTTAAGCCATGCACCAACCTGGTTCCACATCAGATCAGTACGCACGCCTGGCCACACCCTGCGAGGCTGCACTGCACCCCATTCTGTGGATGTGCCACGAGCTGAAGGACTCCCCAGTTCGCAGTCACTCAGGTTGCTTCCCATTTTTTTTAAAACACTACCAGGCTGTCACAACTGTCCATGCATCTTATCCTCACGGAGTTCTGTATTATTTCTGTTGGAGAGAATCTCAAAAGCGGCTCTCCTTTTTATTTCTATTTAATTATTTGATTTTGTTAGATGGCCCTCCAGAAAGGCTGCACCAGTTGAAACCCTCAGTTCCCTTTTCTTTGTGCTAGGTGTGCACTTTATCTCAGCCCTCCAGGGTGCCCCTGCCCACGCCTGGCCTGGCACCCAATAACCGTTCCCTCGTGGCATCTGCAGCCACAGCCCTGCCTGCCCCTTCCAACTCTGCCCCCCCTCCATGGCATAGACATTTCTCATTGAGTGACTACTTTGGTCTTCTCGAGCCTCCTCTCCCTCCCGCTCCCCCTGACACTAGCGGTCTTCCTCTGCCTGCCCTTCACTATTGTTCTGTAAGTTTCCCTGCATTTCCCCCGCCGACGTCTTTATGCCCCTGGCTGTCGGATGGATGTCCTGCTCCCTTCTCCTCATCTGTCTTGTCTCCCTGGGCCACCTTGCATTGTGGAATAGGGCAGCCAAGTAATTCAAGCAAACTGCCCAATGAACAAGAGCGACACAGGTGAGTGTGCGTAAGAGGAGGGAACTCACATCGACCCTGGCATTCATGCATTCTACAAATATTTATTGAGTATCTATTAAGTGCCAAAGGCGGGGAAAGATGTTCAGCTGAATTGGGTGAGGTCTGTCTTGGAGGCGAGAGAGACATTAATCAAATAATCATGCAAATCAATGTTGGGTTTCAAGTTGTGCTGGGTGCTATGAGGGAGTGGCTCACAGACATGTCCCTGGCAGCGCCCTTGCCTGAAGGGGCAGGGAATGTGTTATCCAGGGACTGGCATTGGAACTGGGATCTGAACAGAGGACAGGGCTTGACCAGATGAAGCAGCAGAGGAGGAGTTCTCCACATGGGCCAGAGGGCAGTGAGGCACTTTACAGAGGCCTGGGAAGCCTGGGGGAGGACAGCAGGCAGTGGGGGAGAGGAACTTGTGTTTGTGAGGCAGCTGCTCTCGGCCCTGCCTGCATTTCTAGCCAATCTAGAAATAAAACAGGAAATAACTCGCTCCCCACGCTGGCCCCTCTGAGACCAGGAGACCCTGGGTTCAGCATTCACCGATGGGAAAGAAGGCTTTACCCTGCCGCTCGCTGAGTGTGGTTATATCCCTACACTCTGCCTTGCAGATGCCATGCTTTCCTTCGGCTGGATGCTCAAAAGCCTCCTAAGTCACTGGAGAGAGAAAGTCAGCCTCTGGGCCACAGGAAGAGGGACAGGCAAGGGTCAGGACAGTTTGGCTTTTGGCCAATCCACTCTCGTGTCACCAAGCCTGCCCCTGGCTCCCAGAGGCATGCCCTCCCTGTCTGGGAATGTGTGCCGGGCAATGCTTTCTTGCTGGATGTGTAGGGAAGGGTTCTATTTTTTCATTTACTTAGTGTGCTCTGCTCTTGGAGTGTGGGCACTTCTCAATCGAGGCTAAGAAATGTTGATCCCTGTGGATAAAAGAGAGCCACTTAACGTGGCCATCGGCCACTGGCCCTATCATACAACTTGTCTCTCCAAATGCTGGAGAGAAACCTCCACTGGCTGCTCGGGGGTTTCCATAGCAGTCATTCTAAGTGGCAAGACATGCGACAGAGTCTGGAGCCCCAACCCAGGTGCCCTTCAGCCCTTCAGCCAAGAACCACCCACTCTTCCCAGAGAGGCCACATTGCCCTCCAGCCAAGGAACCCCTTTCTTTCCTCCCTAGGAAAGAAGTTCTGTCCTCTGTCCCCAAGGAGACTGCATACCCCTCACCACCTCCGCTGAAGATCCTAATATGTTAGGTGGCCCTTCTCCTCTTCCCAGTACCTGCCCAAGTCTGTGTTTAGATACTCAAGCCATATGCAGTTTACCTTGAAATGTAAAGGCCCGCATAGTTCCCTGGCCATCTCACACCCTTGTTGAAAGCCAGAGGCTCATGGACTTAAAAGTTCTTAAAATTGAGGCCAGCTAGTTTCCACCCCCATGCCACAGCCACCCTGCACATATGAGGAAGACAACATTACTCTATTGAGTCTACCCTCCTGCCCATCTACACTAATCACCAACCACTAAGCCTTGCCTGCGGGAGTCCGAGGCACTCACTAGGTCTCTGACTCAAGCTGGAGTGAAGAGGAGTTCCCTGCAGTACCTATTTGGGTTACTGCCCCTTCTTTCTGGATTTTAGCTCTGAAAGTGTGGAATGCGAGAGAGCTCAGAGATGATCACTTCTCAACCCGAGAAGCCTCCATATAGTTCCATTCCATTCCAAAGACCTCTGATCAGGAGGAAAATGACTATTGCAATAACACAGCACTGAGAGATTCTGAAAGAATTAAGCCAGGCCCTTTAGGAGATCAAAGCTTTCAGGAATTCAGCGCTCAAGTTAATTCATGGAGAAAATGACGTGTGGGTAATTTCGGGAATCTCTTCACCTGGGCAGACTCCCCCCAGCGCTCTCCCACCTGTTGCTTCTGATGCCAACCAGAGGCATTGTCTGAGCCCAGGCTGGGTTCTAGCCCCGGGTCAGACAGGCTAGAGTCCCAATGATGATGGAATTCAGCAACCTTGGTTCAGCAGCAGAACCTGACAAAACCTCTTGTGCCACAAAGAGGGGGCAGCCCCTCGAGGTCAGCACCTGCCAGTGAGTGTGGAGCCAGCCTTCCAGCCAAGAACCACCCAACCTGCCCAGAGAGGTTCTTACAATACTTAAATCTCCAAAATTTACCTTCTGCTAAAATGCTTGGTCCTTACAAAACACCCTGTCCTTACAAAACTCTTACAAGATTTGACAGAGAGGAAGCATCGAGTGGGTGAGGTACTTTTCCTGTGCTGCTCCTCAGTTCCCAGGTAGGCTCATTGAGCTCAAACTATTCACCCAGGGAAGGCAGTATGAACTAGCTTTACCCTGGCCCCTGACCAGCCTGGCGGTGGCAGCTCCAACTCCATGCAGACAGGAGCTGGGCTGCCCTACCTGGAGAAGCCAGCCACCCATTCTGCCCAGGAAGGTCTTGGGTGTCCCCAGAGGCCCTGCTCCTTCCAAAGTTGAAAGCAATGGTGATCTGCTAAAGACACTGGAACTCCACAGGAAACTGCTGAGAAAAGGAGGGAAGGAAAAGGAGACTCTTGGAATATCCAGAAAACCAAGTAGGGAAGAGGATGCTTAAGGGAAGAGAAGGGGCTGTCTCCTAGGGAGTGGTCTAGGCTCTTCCTGTCACTGACACCCAACTTCTGCCCATTATCAGAGGTGCATATGTCCCTTGGTGAGGGGCAGGTAAAGACTCCAGCAGAGCTTCAGCCAACAGAGCCGTCCGCCTGCTGCAGGGGAGGGTGTGTGTGTGACAGGGAGGGCTGGAGAGGGGGTTGACTTCCACCACTTGTCGTTCTAGGAATCCATGGACACCCTTATTGTGGCTGCAGGCCGGTGTTTCCAGGGGCGCTGTTGTCCTAGGTGGGAGAAAGCGGCTGTGAAGATGCCAGCCTACTGGGGACAGGGGTAGGACCAGGTGTGCAGCCTGGGACAAGGGGCAGAAGAAGCAAGCAGCACTATCAGTACTTTTTCCTTAACACCTGGGTGTGGGTTTGCGTGTGCATTTCTTGGCCAATAAGGCATCTTAGTGCATGTTTCAAGCTGCCATTGTGCCATAGCTAACCCAGAATTAGAACCTAAGCAATGCCACCTTAAACACTGTACCTTGCAAGCACCAAGAAAACCGGTTTTTTTCCAAAAATAAGTTGTACCTGCTGCCCCGTTTCCTTTGTGATAACTCTTTGCTGCCCTGTTTTCCTTGCAATAACTGCTGACCTTGGCTTCTGTAAATAAAAACAGCTAGCTTGCTGTAAAGTTGCTTGTCCTGCATCCCCTTCCCCCCTTGGTCCTAAAACCAGGATGTGGTTTTTCAGTTTAAAAATCCTGCTCCCCCTGAGCTTGGGGCCATGGGTTGGAGAGACGTGAGTCCTCTGTGGCCACCAGCAATGAAGACCCTGCAATTTGGCATACTTTTGCCTTGGTGTTAATTTTTTATACTCAATCTGGTATAACATTTTGGAGGTCCCACAGAGGTTTTATTTATATTCCTCCATCAACTGGACAAAAGCCCTTAGAACTTTGCCTGGGCAGCTGCTCCTGCCTTGGGGATCTCTGGGGGAGGCGTCCCCTGATGATGTTCCAGGGCCCCAGAGTTCCGGCCCTGTGACGAACAAGTGACCATTCAGCTGACATTCGCCCCAAATTCCTTCAGGGTCCTGGAAACCTCCGGAGGTAAATCTGTTCTGGGTCTGAAATCTGGGGACTGGTCCATCTGTGTCTGTAGCCTGAGTCAGGGGACCGGACACGGTCATTGCAACTCTGACCAGGCAAGCCTCCCCGAGACGTCGCCTGAGGCTCTGGTATTTCTGTAACCTCTGATTGTGTGGAGGTTCTGGTATTAGTTTTCGGTTGTTTTCTGTAACCTCGGTGTGAGTGAGGGAGTGAGTGTGTATATATGTAGTCCCACAGCCAGTAGGCTACGGGGCTTGTGAGGGCCTTCACCCACGGTTCCATGGGAGTGTCATAAGGCATAACGGTGATTCATCTCAGAACTAAAAATTCTGAGGTGACCAGGCCCGGGGTTTATATGGGTACACCGTAGCCAAGATGTCCTGAAATATCCCTCCAGGGATGTGGCCGGGCAGGCATCAGACTGGTCTCCCATCTGGGGGCACCCATCCTTTGCCTGTCAATCCTGTATGTGGTTCTGCCTTTATTGTAAATTCACCAGTTTTGTTAGACTCCTGTTGGCTGATATACAGTGGTTTAGACCTGTTACTCTTGAGGTGGATAATGTTCTCCATTGGCTAAGTGACCTCTGACTTCAAGGAACTCTTAAGTTTACACTCCTGGAAATAACTCTGTTCTCTTTCCTTTTCTTCTTCTTATTCTATCTTTGAGGCCTCATTCTTCCTTTTTTTCATGTCCGAGAAAAAATTCTGCCCCCAACGACTTGGATGTAGTTTTTTTCTGTTTTAGGGAATTAAACCTTAAATAAGAAACTACCAGCCCTCTTTGCTCACTTACGGTGAAAAGGAAGTAATTGTCTCTTCTGTCAAGAAAAACTGGGTGTTGTTATGAGTGTTGCCCAAACACTCACCACAGGTCAGCAGTGGCACCATCCTGACCGTTGGGAAGTAGGCTGCCACGGTTTAATAGAGAATGATTGGTAAAACCTTCACAAGACTTACTACTGGCCCTTTTGGGGCTTCTT